TTTTGGTACTGGGGATCGAACTCGGGTTCTTGCGCTTGAGCAGCAGGAGGCGAAACCACTGAGCTAAATCCCCGGCCCCCTACCTGGTCTTTGTTAGAGACCAAGACACTCAAGTGAGCTGCACACTGTGTTAGATCCGAGCAGGGACCAGAAAGAAACAAATATTTGGCCATCCTTGAGAGGAGGATGAGGTTAATGAACTATTTATTTTACTTTACTTATTTATTTGGTTTTTTTGAGGCAGGGTCTCACTGTAGACTTCAGGTTGACCTTGTACTCACTATGTAGCCAAGACCGGCTTCAAACTCAGTGATCCTCCTGCCTTACTCGCTCGAGTGCTGGGATTGCAGCCGTGTACCACATCTTGGGGAGTTGGTCCGTGTACATAACACATCTTAATCTTTTTTCATCCTCTTCCTCTTCCCTTTCTCTCCCCTCCCTGCATCTCTTGGTTCTCTTCCCATTTGCAAAAGATCTATCTCCTTGTTTCCTTTTTTTTTTTGAGACAGGTTCTCGATATGCACTTCAGGGTGGCCTTGAACTCACTTATGTAGTCCAGGCTGGCCTCAAACTTGAGGCTATCCTCTTGCGTCAGGCTCCAGAGTGCTGGGATCACAGGTGTGCACCACCATGCCTGGCTCTCTCTTTTCTGTTATTTTCTTTCTTTCTTTTTTTTTTTTTTGGTACCGGGTATTGAACTTGGGACCTGTGCTTTTGAGGCAGGCACCAGAACCACTGAGCTAAATCCCTGGCCAGACTTGTTTTCTATTTTGCTCTATAATTTATATATACAGTATTTTATACAGTTTAACATATAAAAGAAATCACACAATATTTAAGCTTGTGTGTCTGATTTATTTCACTTACCATTATTGTCTCAAGCTGCATCCATTTTCCTACAAATAACTCAAGTATATCCTTCTTTATGGCAGAGTAGTATTCCACTGTATATAAATACCACATTTTCTTTACCTGTTCAATATCATCAACATTTCATGTTTTCTACAATGAATATGTATTACTTTTCTATTAAGAAAAAACTGTAAACATCCCACACATATTTACAGCAACAGGAACTGGCTATTCCTCTCACTAGCTTATCCTTCCATTTCATGGGATGGCCATTTGGTGGCCAGTGCAGACAGGGGACATAGCCTCCAGCCCTTTGGCACTAGGGAGCTGGAACTGATCGCTGCAGAACTCTGGAGTCCAGAGGGCTGTACTCCTGTGTCCTGGGTCCAGAAAATGTTACTCATCCTTGCAGGCTTGGGGATCTATCATGTCAGGACTCTGGGGGGTGGGGAGCAGCCTCCTCAAAAAGCTATAGGGCTTGGCATGGTGGTGCATGCCTATAATCCCAGCACTCAGGAGGCTGAGGCAGGAGGATTACCAAGAGTTCAAGACCATCCTGGGCTACATAGTAAGTTCAAGGTCAGCTTGAACTACACAGCAAGACACTGTCTCAAAAAAAAGGCTGCAACCCCAACCCAACACCATTCAAGGCTCAGAATCCAAATTGTTCTTCCTACTTATGACAATACAGAGACAATAAATTAACATAAAAAGTAATCACAGTCAAGTGAAATATGGGGGTTCTTGCCAGAGGCAAATTCAGACCTGCTGAGGGGCTGTTTTCACTTGCAGAGCTCACAGGACACCCACTTGTGCATGTGGCCCCCTCATTTGTGAGAAAGATGAGCTCTCCTGAGAAACTTGGATCCCCCATTAGAGATTATCAGCAGACACAGCATCAAGAGAATGGGTGTCCCTAAGAACTTGAGATAATTGGACAATGTGAAAAGTGTTGCTGCAGAAAAAGAACAGTCAGATTTGATGAATAAATGATTTGCAGAAGTTCCCTGAATGCTCAGTGGGATATGTAAAACTTGATGCACCCTGGAGTTATTTGTTTTGTTAGTACAGAGTTTCACAAATCAAGTGTTCTTACAGAGGAGCCCACCACACACAGGAGAGCTTTCTGGGAGGATCTGGGGACACTTTTGACAGTTGAAAAAAAGAGGCCACCAATTTCCAAATGTTTGGACAAGGACTCAGCCCACAAAACTGCTTTTATCTTGAAGAATCCCCCACAGTCCCTGTCTCCTGTGGCTTGGTGACCCTCCGCATGTCTCATCCCCCTGATCTGTGCAGGGTGCTGGATTAAAAGGTTAGTAGGTGGACGCTGGATTCGAGGAGCTGAAAATGAGTACTGGGCAGGATACCATATCCAAGATGACAAGTCTATGCTGTGACAATCAACAGGTCTGCACAATGAAGAGAGGAGGGAAGCACTGCCTGTCACTGTGGCCACCGACAGGCCACACAGGCCTGCCCACGGGTTAACAAGGGCAGCCACCTAAACTGAGAAATAGAAAGTTGAGAATGAGCCAGGAGAAGTCTGTCAGAAACAGGAGAGGAGAGGACATTCGTGAGGAGAGAGAAGAAGGGACTGGACACCACACAGGCTGTGTAGCACGTAGTGAGGTGGCTGTGCAATAGTCACCCAGCCAATTTGGTCCCTGGATGACCTGTCACTTCTTCTCCTCATCCTTCAAGACATCAGTGCCATGTCCTCTCTTGTGAACCTTTCTGTGGGCCCCGTCCCAGACTCAGCTGTGCCCCTGCCTCAGTGCATCTTTATCTGTCCACTCAGAGTCTGTATAAACCAAAAGGCCAGGGTGACCCAGTCTTCCTCTTGCCAGGGACCTGAGCGCCTTTGGCTCCCCATGGCCAGCAGAGGGCAGGACTCCCAGCAGGGCTTCAGAGGGGCTGTGGAGAGGAACAGACTCCCACGGCTGCACATTGTCCAGACAACACCAGCAGAAGTTGCTACACACAGCCTTGATAGCCACCAGGTAAATCACTTCAATTTATTTATTTATTTATTTTTTTGGTACCGGGGAACGAACTTGGGTTCTTGTGCTTGTGCAGCAGGCGGTGAAACCACTGAGCTAAATCCCTGGCATCACTTCAGTTTATTAAGACAAACTCCAGTTCAGTAGGAAACAATCACCTAGATATCTTGGCATGGTGTAGATAAAGCATTAGTTGGCTGAGATTTCTGTTCAAAGTTCAGATGTTTTGGCATCACTCACACTGTCATTTTACCTGCTTTCCCGAGATTAAAAAAAAATTCTGTGAGGTATTTTTTATCTTTTCTGGCCAGCTCTGCAGGAAAAGACTCATCAGGAGAGCTGGCAATCTATTTTTAAATACGGAACTATGGATATATTCGTGTTACTAATTTTTCTACAAAGGATTTAAACATTTATTTTAGTTATTCCTTAAGACTTTCTGTGAGTGGTAGTGGAATACAAGAGGATCATACTGTTTATTTATTAATAGGAATATAGTGCATGTAAAATAAGCTACTATTAAGCTAGACTCTGGAACTTAGTAAAAGTGGCTCTGATCAGAAGCCCAGTTTTTGAATTGGGAAAGGTACTTGCTAGGAGCATAATCTAGCATGCTCCAGCACTGAAATTAGAAGCAAAGCAAGAAGTTCATAAAAAATCCATTTATAAGCTCAGTAAATCTTCCTTTCATGAGCAGCAGCTTCTCTCCTGAGTTGGTTCCGGCTCAGCTCTGACTGAAGAGATGTTCTGCTCTAGAAAGCTTGGACGTGATTCCAGTCTATTCATGCTCGGGGGGTACAGATGTGGCTGTAATGTGGCTCTTGGCCTCATCTTCCGGCCAAAAAAGAGCCTACAGGACTCCGGGAGCCAGCACTGTTGCTGTAAAATGCCTTTTGCTACCTAGCCACATGTTCTGGGCTGAGGCACATAGTAAATGTCTTTCTGTGTGCAGTGAAGTGACTGGTACCTAATTTCTGCCTCTAGGAGGTTACAGTGTGAGAGGGGCTCTGGACAGGGTGACCAGAGTGTGCAGTCAGAATAAATGCTGTCTTGGAGCAGAGATCTAAAAGAGTGATTTGAAATAAGATCAGGCATGATTCAAAATAAGCTCAGACTGGGTAGCTTATTGTTTAAAGCCAGTGGTGAAATCTGGCCAGTGTCTCAAATGAAAAGTCATGTAGTCATCTTGTTTGGATTTGGGGAAAATCGCTTCCTGTAAATGGTTTTCAAACTTATCTGGTATTAGGAGTTGCACAGGAAACTTTTAAAACACAAATTCTTGGGCCCACCCCAGATTTTTGGAGTTAAGGATTGGGAGAATGGAGTCCAGGAATCCTGAATTTGGGAAACTCTAGGTGGACTTTAGGGGAAGAGTTTAGTTTTAGGGCCAGACAGAACTGGTTTTGAATCTTGCCTGTGTGCTCTGGAGCAAGTTTCTCCTCCATTCTGAGCTTCAGAACCTCAAGGAAGAGTAACTTTGGGGTCTGCACAGGCTGGACAGTATTTGATATTCTGTCATAGTGGGTTGCCCTCCCCGCTCCCTCTAGCAGATGCCTGAAACCACTGCCATATGATGGTAGCCAATCACACCACAGCCAGGTTGCCACATAGCAGGCCCAGAAGTTGGCTGGGTCACTGGAAGTGTTTGGCATCACAATTTTTTCTGATAACTGCAGGAGGAACCTGATTAACTGTGTGATGTCCAGTCCAAAGCCAGCAGCGGTTGGAGGGAACCAGTTGGGTAGGCTGGCCCAGGCCTCGGGGCTTCTGATTCACTGAGGCACAGCTTGGGTGAGATAGTCACCCTCTGTGTTTATTTGATATCTTAGGGTTCACTTGTTCTCACCACAGTTCGGGGATGGCCCGTGGGCACTGTCTCCAGGCAACACCCAGCTTGCCTGGCCTCCATCCTCTTTCATTTCTCCCGAGTACAGAAACAGGGCCTGCAGCCACTGGGAGCCACAGAGTAAACATCACCACGCTTACTGGGTTGGCAATTTTACCCGAAGCCCAGAAGGGACAGTGCTGTTTTTCTTTCTTTTTTTTTTTTTTTTGGTACAGGGGATTGAACTCGGGACCTTGTGCTTGCCAGGCAGGCACCGGAACCACTGAGCTAAATCCCCAGCCCCCGGAACAGTGCTGTTTTTATGGTAATAATAGCAAGTGTTGATGGAATATGTACTTTGTATGTGAAATTTTACCCTAATAAGAATTCTATGAGAAAATCCTGGGAGGTGGGAAATATTTTTTATTTGTCCTTGTATATTTTAATTTTTTTTTTTTTTTTTACAAATAATGGAACCCAGGGCCTGGCATGTGCTAGGAAGAGAATCCTTATTACCAGATCAGGGAAAAACCCCAAGAAAGAGAGAGGTTAATGAGGCAAAGAAGTATTGGAGAAGAATGAGCATCATGCAGAAAGGAGCATTCCCAGCTGCAGGGACAGAATGAGCAAAGGCCCTGAGGCAAATAGAATCTGTGTTTGAGGAAGAGACAGGTCACCATTGCTGGGACAAGGCTGCCAGACTCCACAGGCTTTTCCGGGCCACAGTGATTCTGACTGTGGGAAGAGCAGTGGGTGGTAGCACAATCCCAATACTCTGGGAGGCTTAGACAGGATCACAAGTTTGAGCCAACACTGGGCAAGTTAGTGACTTAGTGAGAGCCTATCTCAAGAAGCTAAACAAAGAAACTGGCTGGAGTAGTGGGAAGCAATTGAGTTTTTGTTTTTTAAATAGTTATGGAATTTTAAAAATAGACACAAGAGTAGAAGAGGATCCTAGGCCTCTGTGTACAAACCTCCAGCTTAAACAATGAGCTACTGTTATTGGGATGGAGAGGAGCAGGCAGCACCCCAGGAAATGCATGTGGAGGGGTCTCAGAGCAGATCCTAAAGCAAGAATTTGGTACAAGCAGTGTATCTGTGAGGCAGGAAAGAGTGACAGAGAAGTGGAGAGGAGAGATAGGGAAGAAAGGAAGGCATCCATGAGGGCCTTCTCATGTGGGCTTAGCAGGACTAGCATCATGATTTGCAGGCCTCTTGCTTACAAATTGTGAAGAATTTTAAAATGAACCAGGGCCCGATGCCTATCCCAGATATATTAGAGGCTGAGGCAGGAGTATCCCAAATTTAAGACTAGCCTGTCTTTAAAAAAAAAAAAGGAATGGGGATGTGTTCTGGGTTCAGTTTCAAAGTGGTGGCAGTGGAGCACAAAACCCAATTCAGGGCCCTCCTGAGCGCGGGGTCCTGGGTAGCTGTACCTGTCCCACACCTCTGAAGCAGGTCTCACCTTTGGGCCATCGTAGCCTATCCTCGGAGGAGACTTGGTGCACAGGGAGAGGCACGCATCTCAGAGGGATGAGTAGTCCAGTGCTGGTGGGAGATTGCTCTTGCACTGTTCCAGCTTCCTGGCTCTTCCCATCTGTCTTGTTTGTTTGTTTTTTGAGACAGGGTCTTGCTAAGTCATTCAGGCTGCCCTTGGACTCTCTTCGGATCACAGCAATCCTGCCTCAGGCTCCCAAGTTTCGGGATTATAGGCATGCACCACCACACCCCGCTTCCTTTCTGTCTTACCAAGGAAGAACGGCTTTCCCTGGCTTCCTCAGGTATAGCCTGGCAGTCGGCATGGTGCCAGTGCCACTGACATGGTCAGTCCCACGGGACATGGGCCAGGCACCAAGAGCCTCTGCTACGTGGACCAAGGACAAGGGAGCATCTCAAAGGGGACCAAAGGGACTTCTCATTTCCTGAGTTTGCTCCTGCAAGGCTGGAAGTCCTTCCTAGAGAGACAGGGTGCTTGGGAAGGGCAGTGGGCAGGGTGTTTGTGTGTGTGGACTTTGACTTCTCCACATGGCAATGCCAAGATGGCAGCTGGAGACTGGGGTCTTAGGCTAACAGTGAATGTCTGGCTATGGGTGAGGATAGCAGTGGCAAGGGAGGGAGTGCAGAGGCCCCAAGATGCGTGGTGTCCATTGTCCTTGCACTGGGGCCAGGCTACTGCAGTGCCAAGTGCTCATTAACTAAAGCAGAGAGCTGTCCTCAGGCGGCCACCTGCCCCTGCAGCCATCACTCAGGGAGGAAGGCTGGTGTCCTCTCCCTCCACAGCTCCTCCTGCAAAGGGCTTCTTGGTTCACAGCTGTCCCCATTCTGCCCTGGCCTTGGTAGGAGCAGAGAGCAGAGGCCCTGAAACCACACACCCCACCCCCCGGCCGACCTCCGCTGCCTCCCCGCCCCCCATCCAGGGGTACAGGCAGAGGCAGAGGCCAAGGGAGAGGGAAGTTCTAAAATCACCAAACATTGAAATAGTTTTTCATTCTTATCTCCAGTTTCTGTTTCAGGAGTTTTCTCTGTGCAAATAAAACTAAATTTAGCAGTGGATATTAAAATAACGAATTTACCCTCAAAATGGAGATGAGCGAAATGGCTGGGGTTGCAGGGTCTAATTGCCAGGGGCAGTTAAGGGAGCCAAGACTTTGTGAGTGGGCCTCTGGGTGATACGGGTGCTCCTGTATTTCAATGTCTGTTAAACAAAGGGCAGCCAAGGCTCTCTCAGTGGGGAGAGCCGCTCCTGAGCCGCTTTGTCCTGTCAGTAGAGTCAATCTGAGTTTCCAAACAAGGAAGAGGGTAAACAAATGGGACCTGCCAGGCCCTGTAGCCTGGGGATCCTGGGCCCAGTAATTGTTCCTTATTGTTCTTTCTCATTAAAATGAAGGTTAAAGAAGTCATATGCCCGCTAGCTGTTAGAGAATCTGGGAGGGGAGGTCCTTGAGACAGTGGAGGAACCTGTGAGCCCCTGAGGGCTGTCAGGCTCTAGGGCCCTGCTTTAGGCTTCTCTGGCAGAACCCTTCTGCTTTCTTTGCTGTAAAGAATGGGCACATAGGAAGTCATCCTGTAGGTTCTGGTGTGAGCAGGTTGAGGCAGCGCATCTTATTCTAAAACACGTCAGTGGAAAGTAGAAGAAATGCAGATGAATGAGTCGTATTTGTCATTATGGAAAATTAAACATCTGGTCTGTTAATTTTTTTTTTTACTTTTAAATCTAGTGATTTAAACCATCCAGGCACAGCTTGAGAGATTCTTATTTATTATAATTTCATGGTTGTTTAACTCAGGGGTGATATTCAATATTAAATATCAGGTTCACTGTGAACACCAGCCCCAAACAACCAACACACAGTTATGTTGTGTGCTAGACAGATGACAGTTCGTCATCTTGTTCCCTCTTGGAGACAAGAACAAGAAGGGACACTGAGGCAGGGATTCCTGACAGCATGCCCATCTGGATGTGTAGTAGTGCCATGTGTAAAGGGGAGGTGACAGGATGCTGGCAATTCTGCTCCCCAGGGCCAGCTCCTCCTGGCCACCCGCTCCAGGGCAGTCCTGTGCTGCTCACTGTCCTCCGATCCCGGAGGACTTGGAATCTGAAGATGGATAATCTGCAATATCAAAAATGACAGTCCAAATTGGTTCCAAATACAAGGATGTTTCATAATGGTGCTGGCGCTGATAGTCTCACGCGGCTTCATGCTGCAAATGTTTTCCCCCCAAATAAAGAGGACGAAAAACCATCAAACTCTTGTCCAGTGTAATTACCATAAATCATTATAAATGAGTTCTAATATTGCTAGGAACACAGATACATGGCCATGGCCACAGGATGTGGTACTGAGAGGTTTCACTGCAGCAGTGTGATCCACATTATCCTCGAAGCCTGCACTTCGCTCAGGATGAGAAAACCTCTCTAAATGTCTTGTGCTCTTGTGGTTGTTTTCTTTCTTTCTTTCTGTTTTTCGGTAGTGGTGATCGAACTCGGGACCTTGTGTCTTGTGGTAGTTTTAGATGCCATCAATGTGGGAAAGAACTGACATGCAATACCACTCTAGGAGAAAAACCTGTGATGATACCTGTCTCATAAGCACTGTGTACGTCATAATAATAAAGGTAAGAGCCAACATGTATTGTTCTAGGTAGTTGATACTTATTTTTATTTCTGTTATTGAGGATGGAACCCAGGGCATCCTGTATGTTAGGCACAAGTTCTACCCTGGAGCCCAGCTACTTTATATATATTCCCTACTTTATAAGATATGCTTGCTTGATGGTTGTTTCCATGTTACTAATGCAGAAACTGAAGCACAGAGAAATTCCAAAACTAGCTCACACTATACTGCTTGAATAAGGCACTGGCCTTACATGGTGGCAATCCTGCCATCCTCTTTATTTTTTTGGTTTTTTTTTTTGGTACCGGGGATCAAACTCGGGTCCTTGTGCTTGTGCAGCAGGCAGCAAAACCACTGAGTTAAATCCCCGGCCCTCTGCCATCCTCTTTAAATCCATTCCTTTTACACCAGTTCTTGTTACCTTCTAGGTCACTTGGGGGAAGGAGACTCAGCTTCTGCCCTTCAGGAATCAGTTGAGCTGATGAACTTGGATGAAGACTGTTTCAGGTGCTGCAGGCGTCTGCTAAATCAATGGGGTCCCGGTGGCTGGAGAGCCAGGGAAGGGCATGAGTGGAGCTGTGAACAGGTGGGGTCTGCTTGTTTTCACCACCGCACCTCGGACGATGTGGGTGTTAGTCCCAGGTAAATATGTGAAGTTCGAATCACTGCTCTCCCCTCTCTGGCTCCAGATTTAGGCCCAGCCCCTCTCCCTGTGCCAGCCTCTGGGGACTTGCGGTCCCACCTTCCTTTCCCTTTGACCCCGGTATGTCTAGATGGGCTCCTGATGGCCCTGCTCCACCCAGCAAGTTTTGCCAGATTTAGCAAATGAAAATAGAAGACATTGATTAAATTTATATTTCAGATGAGCAGTGAAAAGTTTTTAGTGTACGTGCTGTCATATTTGAGATATACTTAGATTAAAAAACATTATTTGCTGTCTAACTGCAATTCAATTTAATTGGATTGTCCTGTTTCATCTGGCAACTCAATACCCAGCGCCCCGGGCCACCCCGTAAGGCTTTCCCTGGTATAACTACAATTCACCCGCGCACCCACCATGGAGAGCCAGAGGCTCTGGGCAGGATCAACCCTGGGTGGGTAGGAGAGAGGGAGGACAAGGAGGACGTAGAGTGTCGCTAAGGACCTGCTGAGTTGATGGGGCTGAGTGAAAGTTTCCAGAACGAAGCTGTCTTAGAGAGGCATTGAGCGAGGGTCGCACCTGGTGGCCAGAGAGGCCAAGGGCAGAAGGGTGTCGCGGGGCTGGGCTCAAGTTGAGCTGTCGCACCAATGCAAGGGCTGCAGAAATAGTCTGGCAAAGATGTTCCTGAGCGCCAGGGATTTAGCTCAGTGGCACCGTGCCTGCCTGGCAAGTGCGAGGTCCTGAGTTCTATTTCCTGTACTGAAAAAAAAAAGAAAAGAGGTTCCTGAGCAGAAATAAACACAGTGCCAACTTCGGCCACCAGAGGGCGGGCTAGCTTGCGAAATGATTTTCCTCACCGCCAGGAAGAAAACATGGATGAAGTTTCACGCTGAACAGATGCCCGGGAACCAGGTCCAAATGGAAAGAAAGCCACAGTCGCATCCCTTCTTCTCTGACAGCCGAGGCTCTCCATGAACCGTGTGATAGCAAGGACTGTGGCTTTTTGGGTCAGAGGCGTCCCCCAGCACCTCTGCAAGGCTGCATACTCACAGGGTGCTGGGTAAATAGGTACAATACATAGAGTAAGGAAGTGAAGGCGGTAGGCAGACGAAGGCGTAAGGCCCAGGCCCAACCGACCCAGGGCATAACACACCGAAGACGCTTCGTAAAATACTGGCTGAAGCCAGGTGTGGTGGTGCACGTCTGTAATCCCAGCTTTGAGAGGCGGGAGAAGCGAAAATTTCAATCCAGCTGGTGCAAATTAGTGATTTAGCAATGCCCTGTCTCAAAAAGAACAAAAACGACTGGGAGTGTAGCTCGTTTGCAGGCCCTGGGTTTAATCCCCAGTACTGTGACGGGTTGAAAGGAGTATACAGGTGATAGAGGAATGATGCCATGGGTTTCAAATCTGCTCTCTCTCTCATTCTCTCTTTCCTTTTTTTCTGTTTTGGCAGTGCTAGGGCTTGAACCCAGGGCCTTATGGATGCTGGGGAAGCACCTCTGCCTTAGCCAAACTGCCAGGTCTGAAATGTGCCTTTGTGGAGTGATTGCATAACTTTCTTGAGCCTTCATTTGGAGTCAGTAAACTGGGAATACACTTTCCCCACTTCAGTGGTCAAGTGAGAAAATAGATGTGATCCCAGGGCGGAGCTCTGTAAACTGGAAAGTATATAAAACAAAGAGCTGTCAGCCACCCTTGTCACTGGGACTCCCTTGCCCTTAAAAAACGATGGGAGTAATTAAAAAACGGGCATCTGAAATGAACAGACATTTCTCAGACAAAGAAGTAAAAGCAGCACATAAATATATGAAAAAATGTTCAACATCACTGGTCATTCAAGAGATGCAGATGAAAACAATGCTGAGATTCCACCTCACTCCAGAAAGAATGGCTGCTATCATGAAATCAACCAATAACAAATGCTGGCGGGGGCATGGGGAGAAAGGAACCCTTCTCCATTGTTGGTGGGAGCGCAGACTGGTGCAACCACTGTGGAAGTCACTATGGAGATACCTCGAAGAACTAGGACTGGAAGTCCTATTTGACTCAGCTCTTGCCCTACTGGGGATCTTCCCAAAAGAATTAAAAGAATCATTCCACAGAAATGTATGCACACCCATGTTCATAGCGGCACAGTTTGTAATAGCTAAAACTTGAAAACGGCCCATCAACTGGAGACTGGATAAAGATGTGGGGTTTTTTTTTTTAATATAAAATGGAGTATTACTCATCCAGAAAGATGAGAAACTGGAGACATTTATAGCTAACTGGATGCACACTGAGGCCATACTCTTAAGTGAAATAAATAGGACACATGTGTAAATACCAAAGTTTCTCTGGTGTGAGAAACTAAAAGTGTAAATAAGAATCAAAATGTATAATTGATATTGTGAAATAGGAAGAAAATATTTAAAGGAATAGGGGAAGTGGGAGGGGAAGGGGAAAGGAAAGAAGGGAAAAGAAAAAAATATGAGAAAAGGAAAAACATGGAAACAAAGTCTTTGTAAATAGGGGAGAGTGGAGGGGGTGAAGGGAGGGCAGGGGAATGGGGAAAAGTAAGAACCAAGATACATCATGTACAGGTACAAGCACCCAATGATAAATGTAACTATTGTATACCTAAAATGTACCAATAAAATAAATGGGAAAAACCCCAAAAGACGACAGGAGTGGCTGGTGTTGAATGAAACAGAGGAAGGAAAGAAGGCAGAAAGAGTGGCAGGAGAGAAGAACATGAGAACACACAGGTGTGGTTGTTTTCCTATTCTGGAGAAGCTGGGCTCTAATTTTCCTGTTTTCAGATGAGAAGCTCACTTCATACTCAGCAAGTCTTCCCTGAGCCCAGGTCCTGCCCTTTGGGGAGGGATTGGGGGCTGCTGGTACCCGAGGCTTCTGCAAGCGTCCTCACCGCCCCAGAGCACTTCGATGGCGATCTTCTAATTTGTCCTCTAGTAACCTGGGGCAGGCACTGGGACGGGCTTAATTTAATGCTGAGTTTTAGAGACAGGAAGCAAGGTGCTCCAACACCATGTGCTGCCCAAGGGGACTTAGCAAGGGGTCAGCACAGCCTCTTTCCGAGTGGAGGGGTTTGAAATGCATAACAAGAGGAAATGATCTTGCTTTTTTGGTAAATGAGTGACATATTGAAAACTGAAAACAAGCTAGGTGTTCTTCAGCAGGATGAGAAATTCCCACACATCCTCCCCATGGAGGGGCAGAGGGTCGTGCATGAGAGCTCTTTCTGTGGCTTTTGGTTTACTTGTTTGTTTTTCACTACTGGGTCAGAAACCCAGGGCCTCACATATGTTGTGAGCCAGCCAGGCACTGAGCCACGCCAGCTTGGTTTTTTGTTTTTTTAGTTAATAGAGCTTTCATCATTTTAGGTCTCGTATGCCGTAGGCGCTCTGCTGAGCCTTCCACACCAGCTCTCACTTGATCCCCAGAGAGCAAGACGAGGTCATGTGACCTCTTCAAGGTCACACAGCTGGGGTCTGTGGGGCTGGGCTCTGACCCAAGTCACTCTGACCCTGGAACCACCCAGGGTGGGTAGCACTGGGCAGCGTTGATAGAGGCTAACAGACTGGCACTGTGCCATCCTCCTGCAATGGGCACTCTTCTGAGTAGCCTTCCTGCGATGTGGAAGCTCCCCCTGGGCTGACCTGGTGAAGAAAGCATCCTGGGGTCTTGCTGAGTAGTAAGCAAGAAAAGGAGGTTTCTCTGTGTGTTAAAAAAAGCAAAATTTCTGCCCAGGCACCCTGAGAGGCTAAGGCAGGATGATTGCAAGTCTGAGCCCAGCCTGGACAACTTAATGAGACCTTGTGTCAAAATTATAAAAATAAAAATAAAAAAGACTGAGGATGTAGCTCAGTGTAAAGGCTGTGGGTTAAATCTCCAATATTGGAAACACACACACACACACACACACACACACGGAGCAATAAGACAAGATTTCACATGAGCTTGTACTTTTTTCTGTGTACAAGAACAACTGAGAAGATTGTGTCCAATTTTCAATGGTCCCTTCTGTGGGGAATGGGGATAGATTGAGGGAGAACTCCTGAGCTAATTTTACAACCCTGGCTATTGTTTGAATTTCTTGTAAAAAGTCCGGAACTTTAGAAACCTCAGAAATGCATTGTTTGTAATACTGTAAGCTTATAAAGTACCTCGGTCCCCACCCCCCCAACTCCACAGGTCCTTGCTGGTGGTTCCGGCTGGCTGCCCTCCCCACTCAGCCTGGGGCGGCGCTGAAGGTTACAATCCATCCAAGAATGGGAGTCATTGTAGATTTGAGTCAGAGGAAAAGGCTGTGACCATGGCAGGATCTACTACCCACCCCCTAACACACGCATGACAGGACTGGAGCCGAGTCCTGTGGGTGTGTGGGCACGCGCATGCGCACACACATACAGACATGTGTGCACACACAGATGTGTAAGCTGCTCCTCCTTTCCTCCTGGCCTCTGCTCCCAGCCTACAGAGCCCATCCCTGTGCCCAGAGGCCTCTCCTGCTCCTGAAGCCTCCTCAGGGAAAGGGAGCAGACGGGGTTCCTCCCCTGGGACCATTCCGAGTCCTGGAAGACTGGGCTTCTGGGCAGGGAACGATGAGGCCAGGCTCATTTCCTTCCCTCCCTCAGGGTGAAGTCGGGGAAGAAGGCATCTTCCTCCTGACTGCTCCCAGGCCCGCCTCTCTGGAGGAGCTGAAGATGTGTGAACCCTGTCCCCTGTCCCCCGACGTGGCTTGGTCATGAGGTGCACGAACATGTACAGAGAAAACTTAGTGGAATATTGTCCATACTGTTCACCCCGGTTTTCTCTGATTGAGCTTTGTTTTCTTTTCCTCACATTTGTGGCTTATTTTACTTTTGAGTTGTTGTTTGTTTGTTTTGTTGGGTTTTTTTTTTTTTTTTTTTTTGAGACAGGGTTTTACTAAGTAGTCCAGGCTGGTCCCAAACTCAGGGTGATCCTCCTGCCTCAGCCTCCTGAGTGCATCACAGGCATGCATTACTATGCCTAGCTTGTGGTTTATATTTGCTTAATTTGTTTTTTATTTTTTTTATTTATTTGTTTGTTTGTTTTTGGGTACCGGGGATTGAACTCGGCTCCTTGCACTTGCACAGCAGGCAGCGAAACCACTGAGCTAAATCCCCGGCCCCTTAATTTGTTTTTTAAAAGTTTGTCACAACCCCATAGATAAAAATCACCAAGAATGGAACATAGAGAAAAAGAGATACACAAAAAGAAGAAAAGGAGAAGAATTAGAGAAGAGAGGATGTTAAAGTGAGAAAGAGAAGGTATGAGAGGTAGAGAATTAATGTGGAGGCAGAGGAGCCCCTGAAGCACCTGGGAGCGGCAGCTGGTGTCTGAGAGCCTCCAGTCTCAAGGGCAACAGCCTGGTCGGGATTGGCCTTACAGCTGCTTGTGGACACCCTCTAGATGGCATGAGAGCCTCTTCCCAGGCCACCCTCCCAGGTCCTTGGGCACCAGGGCAGCCCTAGCTTCTCTGCTGGGCTGAGGCAGCAGGTGCCAGACATGACCAGGCCAGAGCAGCTGCTGGGACTGGCATTTCTGCCCCGCTGGCATTCTCTTCCCATTGCTCTAGCAATGTGTCCTTGGCTATTTATGTAGCTGAGAAAGAGTGATCATGTTTCTTCCTGGAGCAAAGAGCAGGTACACTTACTGCCCATTATAAAATATTCTGTTCCCCTAACTTTAGGGGCCCTTTGATGGAGATTTACATCGCACCCACTTCCTGCAGTTTGTTCGACTCTGTCTTCAGAAACACAAGGAGGCAGAGGAGTCTCCCAGTGAAGAGATCGGACTCTGAGAGGCCCAGATCCCAGCTGCACCACCGACAATGTGACCTGGAAGAAGCTTTGCACACAGAGTGGGCCACCAGGGGTCAGCTCTGGGACAATGCCTAGAAGGAAGTACAAGGACTGGTTCTGGAGCTCATCCTGAGCTGGGTTTCCTGTACAGGTGTGAAAATTAATGATGTGTCTCCTCATGCCTAAGTTATTTTCCAGTAAGAGGTTTAGAAAGTGGAAAGGGATGGTTGAGATGCATTTTGCTTAATTCAACATTAGACTGGGTTCCTTGGGAGCCAGAAAAGGGTTATTTCTGAAAAACATCTTTGAAAAATCTTTGAGGTTATACTTTTCACAAGGCAAATAGTGTTCAGAGAGATAGACCTTTGTAACACAAGCAAGCAGAGCGTCAGCGTGTTCCAGGAAGCTTTCTCCAGTGACTAAGAGAAGCCATCTTAATAAACTTTCAGATGTGGCCTGTGCATTTCCACACCTACCCAATCTTTATGTGTTGAGTATGGGCAAATTATTCCAATGGCTGGCATTCTAAAGAAGGACACAAACCTTAGGAAACACTCTGATAAGCCAGTTTGTAGGTGGAAGGTAATATCCTGGTTTGGAAGGTATCAGTGACACAATGTTTCATTGCTCAACGTAAGAAATGCAAGAAGATTTTGGGTGGAGGTGGGACAAATTAGAGAAGGGATGGGTGGACAGTGTGGGGCAAATGGTAGAGCTTGACATTACACAATACCTACTCTGGCAGGGGGACCCCCCTAATGTTGCCTCACCAGCACACAAGTTCCAGCAGGCAAAATTACCCAGTAGTCTATTTTGCAGGGAAATGATGTTTGGCTGGCTTGTTCAGGTTGTGTGCCCAACGTAATTCAATAGAGGAAATCAGGGGAAAAGGCTGAGTCGCAGATCCTGTCAGCTCCAAGAGCTGCTGTGAATGGATGTGAGGTCCAGTGAGCTGGTAACACAGAAAGGACCAGAG